AGGGAGGGAGGGAGGGAGGGAGAGCTATGACGAGCAAAACGCCGCGCCTGAGAGCCTTGAAGACATCCCGAACCCCGAAACGGCGCTAAACAACACAGAGACCCTAAACTTGAACGAGACCTGGGTGCCCCGTCCTTGGGCAGCAATGGGCCTCCACATACATCATCAAGATAGTCCAGCCTTCATGATCGGGATAGGGTTCCATGAAGGGTTGCCTAGCGTTTTATGGATCTTACACACTGTAGCCTACACTGTAGCCAGCAGCTTGGTTCAGGGTTGGCGCACTCACACTCGGCCAAAGCAGGCGAGGTTAAAGCGGTGCAGGCGGGAGTCTGTGCATTGACCGATCTTGGTGGTGCATGCAAAACTCATCCGCGTCACGATCGCAATTACAAGTAAAGAACGGGAATCTTGGAACATCTGTCAAGGCCATGGTCTGTTTCTTGCTGAGTATCTCCCGACCCGCGGCCCAGCAACAAATGTTTCGAAATTGGAAACCAAGGGTAGGTTGTAGTGAACCCCAAAAAAGTTGTAACTTGGATTTAGGATGAGTAGTGCCGGGATTGCCTATGCTTATACTTTACCTGAGGGGATCCTTAAGGGCATGAGGATAATGATGTTTCAACTTTCTGTCTTCTACTGTAGGGTCATTTAAAGGGAGGTTTAGTGCGCACCAACATTGACAAGTCAAACTCTGGACAGGCGCTGCGTGTCATCGACGAGGCCGCTGGCAATCCACTCCATTGCGATGTTGTCGAGCCCATTCCTGCGCAAGTTCAATGTTTGGATTTCCATCAGTTCAGGGGCTCTTCACTTTTCCCTACACCCTAACCGCTGCAATCCCTCGTAACTTAGTACTATTTAGGATGAGGGTGCTCAGGGTCGCTGCAGGCTTTTTGATTGTAGAAGCCCGTTTCGACCCCTGGAATGAAAATGGCATTGGTGGGGAAGCACTTGTAACCTGCATGTAACCACCCGTGCATCTGCGACGCTGTTGAGCCGCCCCGGAACAGCGAACACACAGGTTGTCCTGCTAAGATCCTGGATGAGCTCTGTCCTGCGAAGCAGGGTCACCGAACACACTTGCAAAACCAAAGTTGAGTCCGAGGGATAAGGGTTTCATGTCGAGTGCTGGGGTAGTGCATTGTTCGAGCGGCAACATGTCCCGAAAGTTTTGGGCCACATAATACTCAAAAAGTGTCTTACATGCTGTACTACGGTGCGGCACATAACTTAGACTTAGAATTAGAACTATCGGGTTTGATTTGGAGTTCCCAATCATCTTGCATAGTCTTGAAGTTGAGCTCTAGTCCGAACGCCACCCCAGGACTTTCGCCAGGGCTGGGGTGGGTGCGCCCGCGCCTGTCATGGTGCCAAGCTGTTGCAGGCAGCACACCCTCGAAGGCTGGGACGACCATAAGAAAGGCACAAGCAATCACAAGAGGCTTGCCAGATGAAAAGGTACTTGGTGCATCCTTTGCCGAATGCTTCGTGTGGTCGTGTGGAAACTCCGAAATCAACCGAACATGAAGCAATGCCTCATGACATGAAGAGCGAGTTTTAAACTTGCCGGTCGGAACTGCCTCTATTTCTCTCTCGCTTGCTTGCTTGCATGGGGTCTAGGGGCTGCGACAACCCCTTGGCCCGAAGGCCTACTCCCGACTGAAGCAACACATGAGGCTCAGCCCTTGAGGTCCCTCGTGCTCGCGTCCATCTGCTGGAAACTGTCTGGATACTACTATAACGTTTCAATCTCTGAACGGTCATGCTACCGCCTCGGGGGTGGATTTTCCGGCGAGGTGCTCATCCTAGACCCTGAACTGTCCAAACTCCAAACAATGACAAGCCCTAGACTTTCTAGACTCCAGACGAGGGAGAATGACCACTGCAAGGCCTCTCCGAGTGCTCCACGAGCCACGACACGAGGTCGCCAAATGCGTTCGCACCGTGCCGAGGGGCCATGCGAAAGCCTGCCGCAAGAAGACTTCGGCCGCTTATACCTCTTCAGCTAACGCCCATCTTCCTTCGTCAAGTCCAAGATCAGGTAGCCTCAACCCCGGAGAACCCTAGGCGCCCCAACTGGCCTAACACACAGCTCAAGAGCCGACTGAGCAGCTTGATGATGCTGTCCTCACAGGTTAGGTTTGAGGTTGCAGGGATGGGAGGACAACTTGCGCAAGTGAAGAAGTATGTTGCTGTGGGTGAGACAGGCACCTCTCTCTCACACACGCACAAACTCCAAACATGCGATGTTGGCACCGAGTTAGCACACGACGCGCCGCGGGTTTACATGCCTTCGCATTGGATTATCGACGCTTGCTGATTTTCCTGGCGGTGTGCGCCTGTGAGTGTTCCAGTTTGGCAGTCTGCCGAGGCACTTCCCAAATCCCTGTCTGCCAAAGCTCAAAGGGAGCCCAGAATTCTGAGAGGAAATGTCCAGTTCAAACTCCCTCAGGCAGTGTCCAGCGGAGTCTTGCCGTCGCTCGACTTCGATCGAAGAGCAGAAATGGCGTCGTGCAGGAGCACCATCAGATCCTCGGTTCTTGTCGCATGCTCGTGCTGCTTCTTTGAAGATTCATTCTGCGACGGCCCTTCCAGCAGTAGTCGACATCGCAAGTCCACCTAATTACTGACTTCGCGTCTTAGAGACCCCTGTTTTCGCGTCCTGAACTCGCTAAGAACTTAGGGTTTTGACCCGACAGTCTCGCCACGGTGCTGCAAGGGGCACCGCGGTCGCACCGGTAGCACCGTCTACCTTGAGGCTGCCTGGTCGAGGGTTTCTATGGCAGGTACACTCGGAGTGACTATGAGATGTGGGCATCGAACCTTCAATCAAGCAGTGACAAACTTTGACCCTTTTCACTCTCTGCTCGTGGCATTGAGCACGATGTTGGCAAGATTGGAGCTGCAACATCTGGCCGTGTCAGCAAGACAATGGGTGCGGGGTGCGAGGAAACATCACTCCGGGAACGCATCCTAGTAACTCCTAGTGACTCTAGTGGTCCTAGCACCACTTGCCGCAGCGGTCTCAGAAGTTCAGACAAATTGAAGCGAAGCGTAGGATGTGCAGTTGCCTCTGGGTAGAAAGATCCTTTCGACCCAGCAAAATGCAGCAATCAGCTGCGAGATGTCCCTTGGCCCTCCAAGGAATCTTTGTCGATTCGGGCACCTCACAACCGATGTCGCTACCTTCAAAGACTTCTTATGTGGTTCAGGAGCGCATGCGAGCATCATCCGTGCCTGCTTTGAAGAGAAAGTTCCAATCTCGCCGCTCCTGTTTCCCCATGACCTCCCACATGTGTTGAAGGTATGTTTTCTTCCCTTCGTCGCTGAAGCGATGCGAAGAAATCACTTTCCAAGCCTTGATGTCCCGTGAGGCATCAAAGGTTTCTCTCTCGGCCCCTTGACGTTTTGAAAGCAAGAAATGGAAGAATGCCCTGGTTTCTGCCTCGCATCGCAGTCCCGAAGCAAGCACATGCTCCATGATCTCCACTGCATGGTCGCTGGGAGAGAGCCCACCCATGGTCTGCTTTCGCAACAAAGCGTTCAGCACTTTCTGGGCAGCTCGAACACTGTCCTCCTCTTCCTCACCGCATTGCAAGCATTCGACCAAGTCCCCGGCTAGCAGCGCTGCTTCCTGGATGGGGAGCTGCTGCCACTCGCTTAGAGGGACAGACTCCAACAACTGCAGGGCGGTTCGGCGTGAAGCTGCCGTCTGCACCTCGTGAAGGGCAGCCCGACCCAGGCCCAGGTTCAGAAACTTCCGCCGCAGCTCGGGCTCAGCCGCACAAAGCATCAACATAGCACCCGGCCCGGCGCATAAAGAGTCACCACAAGTCCTGCAGGAGCTTAAGTACAGTATCCCCAGGCGGTGTGCAGCTGCCTTGAAATAAGGCGCATCCTTGCGCAGTGGAGCCACACAAGAGTTGACATCAGACATGTTCATCCCACGTGATCCTTCCATAATAATGCTCCGCGCAAGGAAGTTAAAGTGGAAGAAGGCGAACTGATATCCTGCCATGCTCGCACCTTCTCCAAAGCCGTCATCCATGTCGTAGTCTTCGGGGTGATGGCCCCATTCGTCCCGACCCCTGAACTCACCGGGCACATGCTTTTTGGATGTGGAGAGCTCGGTGCCCAGCAAAAACTCTGGCATGCCTGGTGCTGTCCAGAAATAGTTGTAGTATGACTGTAGCTCTTCTTCGCATGGCAGAAAGATCCGAGCCATCGTGTGAAGCTCCATTCCCACATCGTCGGGGTCATGGCCCAAAGAGCGCCTTGCGCTTTTCTTCTCTTTCCCGGTGTAGGCAGCAATTAACAAGCTTCGCATGCGAGCGAGCAACGAAGCAGTCTCCGAAGTCGGACCGCCCCCATGAAATTGCTGTTGAAGATGTCGGAGAACTGCTGACCCATTCAGTGTCTCGACCTTCTGGTGCTCAGGAGCTCGGCAACTGACGTGGTGATACTTGTTACACTTCCTTTGGCACTCTCTGGAACAAAATACGGCTGTGCGGCACTTCGAACATCGATTTGCTTGCGAGGCGTTCAGCTCTCTGAAACAGCCATAGCACCAGAAGACCGAAGGTTGGAGGGGGCTCGGTGCTGCGTCAATCCCACAAGCGCCTTCCGGCGATTCTTCGCAGATGCCATCATCTTCAAACTCGTCTTCCTCAGATCCTTCTTCGAAGTCTTCCTCTTCTTCACTTTCTTGCATCTCGTCTGGCACATCTGTGGCAAGCACCAAGGCCTCTGGCCGCACGGCCAGCTCTTTGCCATCAAGGTATACCCGAATCCGGCCCTTGGCGAGGTTCTCAGCCAGCGGCTCCAGAACAACCCCTTGCCGGCCGTTCAATTCCACTGCACTTTGCAGGCCTTGAATCACCACACGACGGCCCGGTGCAAACATGCTTGGCCAATGCTCACTACCGGTCATACAAGATTCCGTTTATCGCAATTCCCCGTGGTCTTCGCTGGGCAAGAGTAGCTTCTCTAATGCCGCATGCAGTTTCTGCCGTCCTGGTACAGTAAGCCCAACATAAGCTTGCAAGCCTCAACTGAGCCCCCCATAGAGGATGCAATTAACATCGGCCTGTCGACTTGCAGTGCATGCAAGTTTGAACCAGATGGGCCGAAAGACAGCAACACCTCGGAGCCTCTTATCATGGAGGGACGGTTGCGAGGTGATGGAGAGCATGAAATCGCAAGCAGAACAGCACAGGGTGCCTAAGGAAGCTTTGAACAGGTCCAAGTTCAATCTTCCTAGCGCCTCTACAGGATGGGCCTAACTTCCATCATATTGTCGCATGGAGCGGCTATGGGCTACTAAGTGGCCATTACGCCGGCCTAGGTTGCTGGGGCGGGCCTTCGGGCCTTCTTCCTTGCCTTCAATCAGACTGTATCACCCGAGAGAGTGCTGGGAGCTGTAAGCGCCTCCCAGCAGCTTGTCCACACAGTCTTCTGGAAAGAAGCAGAAGATGGCCTTTGCTGGCGTGGAGGTTTGACATTCTCGTATGGGAGTTTCGGAAGCAGAGGGGCAGCGGTAAAGAGCACTAAATGGCAGATCCTGAAAACAAGGCCCTCAAATGTATCGTTTCGAACCTCACACTCGCACAAGCCCAGGCAAGGCTTACGCCCCGGTTTGCAGCAGAGAGGCATTGAAGCAACTCAGCATATCCGGAAGGAACGACAGGCATTCGTTCCTTGCTTCATGGCCACCATGCGATCCAGTTACATCGAATCCCCGGACTCTTGTGCGAAGATGACTCCAACGCTGTGAACGTGGCACTTGGAGAGCCACTTGCGAGGAACTCCCCCTACAAGGTCTTTGTACTCTTTTATGGCTGAAAGTTGAAAGGAATGTCGGCCATAGTTGTAACAACACTTGGCACGTATTGTACACATGTCGAAGCCACTCGTGCGTCCGAGTTGCACTGACAAGTCCTGGTCGCTCAAGCCCTGACCCCTGGCAGCAAACTGAAGTGGCGCGCAGCACTGCAGAAGGCCATCCAACCTGGCTTTGTCTTCGGAAGGGCATTGCAGGGCAATGCAGCATCCCCTGCTCGTAATTACCGGCAACTCCACGGAGCTTCTGCTTGCTCTCCACCAAGCCCACTGGAAGCCTGGCCCGAAAACTGAGCAGCCTTCTTAAGTCACCCACAAATCGCCCGGACACCGCAATCACCGAGTGCTGTCGGAGCCACATGTGTTGAACCACTGAGCTAAAGTCATCCTGCGCCGGGTATTTTGGATCGCACCAGAAACTTACGAGGAACCCATCTCGTCTGCGAGGAGTTGTGTACACACATCCCTCCATCCCCATACAAAACATAGCGTAGCACAGCAAAGCTTAGGATGCGATAGGAAACAACGCATTGCATAGCATGGCATGGTAGTACAATGCATTACATACCTTGCATCATGTTACACTACATCACACCTCATTACACATGTCAAAGCATGTTGCTACGTCTGTGTACGTGGGCTGCCGGCTGACTGACGAGATCGAACTAAAAGAACATGCTTCAGACTATGACGGTAAGAGGGTGTGATGAGCTCATAATAGAGCCCTCTCCCTTTTGCATCCAGCTGATTTGAGGTGGACAAGGGATGTGTCGCTCTCGGAGGTTTCAGAAACATCAAGGGGCCATGAAAGTTTATCTGCTGTGCGACTTTTTTGGGTTTTTATTGCTCTTTCTGCAGGCCTGTGGGGCCTTTCCCAAGTGGAGGTATCCTCTTCGAGGCCTGTCGTCCTTTTGCCCTACATGTTCCCACCACTGCGCTCACTTGAGCCCACACCTACACAGAACCGCCTCTTATGATTTGCTCGGCGCGATTTATCGTGACGCGAGTCCTTAAAAAGCGGCTGGTGACGGAAAGCAGAGTGCACGATCTTCGTCACTGTGCTTCGGTTCGCATCGCCGTAGATGACACAAACGTCGATGATCTTCGGCACGTCTAAAACCTGGCTCTCGAGGATGACTTGCCCGTACTTGTCGTGGGACAAGTAGTCGCTGGGACTCTCCTTGCTGGATCGGGGTGATTGGGCTTTAGGGCTCGGTTTATTGGCTCTACATTGCTTCATCTGTCTGTTCACGCCTGCGTTACACCATCTATCGCCAGGGCGGCTATGCAACAGCTATCTCCTTAAGCATGCTTTGGGCACCTGTGCCCCATCATGATCCCAGTCTTTTCCATTGCCCACATAAGTCAACAATGTCGCCCCGTGATGGGCTTCACCATAGGTCACGTCCAGGAACAAACACTTTATCTCCGGACCCCATGCTGCCTAAATCGTACAGAAAGCCCCACACACAAACAGACACATCCCTACCCCAACCCCCCCTAAACTCCCTAAAGCCCCTAAGACCCAAAAGGCCCCTAAGACTCCCGAAAACCTGATCGGCAAGCAGCCTGTGGCCGACTGAGCCGAACTAGGAGCTGTAGCATCCTCCGACTGACCTCCTTCGTCACAGCCTGCTCCTCGGCAGTTATGCCGGCATCATCCTGGCGAATTTCTTCGTCGCTGGGGTAGAAGAGAAAGGGCTAATATCGGAGTGGGGGTAGAGGTGTTGGTACGGGCCCCTGAACCCTAGGCCCTAAACTTTAAACTCGGCATGGGTCCCTGAACCCTAAACTCTAAAGCCCAGGTAGCGAGTTGGTTTGGTCGGTCTGGGCTTTGAGGTTGCGGTGTTGATGCCGTTTCGGGGTCTCTACTCGAGGATCTGTGGCAGCACGGCTTCAGTCAGTTAGCATTAGCATTGCCATCATTATTCTTATTGTCATCATAGATATTACTACTACTACTACTACTACTACTACTACATCATGTACTATTGTTACACTGCTACTTTTACCCTTACAATTATTACTATTTTTAGGGGTTTCGGCCCTGCATTGAATCTCGGACTCTCCGCGATTCTCTGGCCTAAACTTGACTGAACAAAGCCAATCGGGAACCTGGGGTCTCAGGGTTGCGTATACGAAATAAGCAACGCTTGATGTAATCAGGACCTGGCTTCCATTCCTTCGAGATCATGTGCCCGGAGGCAGAATCTCAAATAGGAGTCTACTAGCCGGCTGACGTTTGGATCGAAGATCACCTGGCTCCAGAAAACGTGGAACTTCAGTCTCAAGATCTTCTCCAGCTTCTCGTTCAACATCCTTAGCTTCAGGACCGCTAAGCAATGAAGAGGGAGCCAGATGAAAGCATGAACGGAGTGGTGTTCAGGAACCTTGCTTTCTCCAGACCATCGAGGGGATTTCGTCAAGATCCTGTTTCAGGTCTGGATTTTTGATAAGGATTTCAATTCGATCTGTAATGCCCTAACAAGGCAACCATAGTAGCGTCCCTTATCGTACCCCATCATGGCTTCTCAACTGTAGTTCTTCAACAACAAGAGCCCTCTCGTGCTAGCAGGGGGGCTCAAGGTATTTGAGCCGGAAGCTGGGATCAACATCATCTGGCAGATCGGTCTCGGCCACGTTGTCCGTGGGCATGAAGGGCAGAAGCCCCAAATCGGCTTTCCAGTAATCTGAGATATCGCTAACCTTAGCGCGGCTCGGCGACTATAACGAGACCGCGAAAGCATATCCAAGAGGTGCAGGCTGTACTGGCAGCGGTGGGGCTGGTGATGCAGAGGATGACCATGACAATGGAACATGGCCGTAATGACTGGCGTGGCAATAGTAACATGATACGCATGAATAAGGGGTGGTGATCGCACCGATCATTGTGGTTCGAAAGATGGCGACAATGCCCACGACCGTCCACAAAATGAGGAAGAACACGTGGGAATGGTGCAGGGTGTTCACATGCATGAGGTGGCTGCATACACAGAGCAACATCATTCAAAGACGAGATTCTTGACATTTTTGGTGGGTTGTGTTGCTGCTGTCGGACTCAGACGTACAACCTGGTCTGTGAGATGCAAGCTGGAAAGTGCGCCAGCCTATCTCAAACTTCCTCAGTTCCAAGGTCGAGCGACCGCTTTGGGTTTCCGCGTGTCCCGATCTTCCACGTAGGTGACCTTCGCAGTTTCAAGTCTTTCGGCGATTCCTTTACAGAGCTTCCCGGGGCAGCCGTCATCAGACTTCCAAAACAACAGAAATATCCGGATGTGAGGAGGTGCAGGTACCGCAAGCCGCAAGATGACGGCTTTCACCTCGACAGCCTAAGCCTCCTGGGTCTAGGGCACCACGAACAGTTTAGGAAGTCAATGCAACACTGCAATACCATGAAGAGTAGGGATCTGGGATCTTCTTACGATGCGCTCTGACCTCCTTGCCATCTGGCTGGCACGTGCGACCCAAGTTGTGGGCTTCCCATAAGGTCAAGGGATTAGGCTTACCATCGTGTAGGGCGCGCAGTGTCAAGAGCGCTTTGCTCTGGAACAGCACTGCTTCCACAAGGAACATCGCAACAATGGACTCTGAACCAATTGGAACCGAAGAGTCCGAAACCAACAAAGCCCAACAATCTCCAAGAGCCTACTGTGGCTGGGCCCACTCGTCTTGGAAGCAACGATGTATCAAGAGCATGCTCAGCACATCTATGCGCAAGAGGCACGATTTCTACGATTGTAAGGCCCCTATCATAGTACTGGAGATCCCTCTAGTAGCCATAAAAGAGTCCTATCTCCACCCCTTTAAAAAAGCCCTTAACCCTAAACAAACCCTGAAAAAAAAGACCCCCCAAAAATGGGGGGGGGGGCCTCCTGATCAGCTCCCTTGGAGGCCGCCACCTTTCGAGCCTTGGAGCCATGAGGAAATCACAGGAAGACTTTTGTGGCTACTGTGACTTTAAATCACAGGGTTATTCTCGGGATTACTTTAAGAATACTATCAGTGTAATTTGATATTCTCAGGGTTACGATTGCAAAAGTACTATCAGTTACTATCAGCGGAATTCTAAGGGTGTTCTTAGAAAGGTTGATTCAGTTTGCGATGAGGCTGTGGAAATAGGCGGGTACTGAGTACTGAGTAGCGAAGGCATTGCTTCGTACACTTCTCTTCTCTTCTCGTGAAATGTGCGACGAGGAATCGCTGAATCAACTAGTTCATGCAAGGCATCCGAATAATTCACCCTCTCCTCTCAAGCTTCACTTGTTTCAATCGATGCCGCCCTGGCAGTCCTCGGGCTACAATGCCTCTACCTCCACACCCTAAACGCTATATTCAAACCCCCAGTCCCCATTCAGCACACACCTCGAATGGAGACCGGGTTCCCTGCCTGTTCGGCTGCGAAGAACTGCTGCTTCTGCTCCTCTTTCCTCAGCTCATAACTCATAACTTCACATATACATATACATACACATATGTGCATGTACGTTGTTACTTTACACAATACAGTAATTATGTGCGTACGCGCATGTGTATGTCTATGTATATCGGGGGTTTGTTGCTTTGGCGGATCGCCTTCTTTCTTGGGCCGAAGGAATGAAATAGAAATTTGTCTGGCTCCGATGAGCAGTTGAGAAATGCCTAGGCCAAAAGGCTTGTGGCTCACAGTGCCCAGACTTGATTTTCGCATCAGGTCGGCAAGCTAGGGGCTGCGAGAAATCAGCCATTCGAGTAAACTCGGTGGGCCAAATTACAGAGTGTTTGGCAAAACCCGGGTAAACTCTCGCGGCGGCATCGCCAGCTTCTGTTGAGATGTCTTATGGAGAAACTGAAATCACTAAACCCTGAACATAATTGATGATTTCCAGCAGCCTTTTTGGCTGCAGGGTTGTCACTGCACTCCCACAACAGCTTTCCACAAAGAACCAGGCACACAGATAGCCTGCTAGCGCACGATACGTTTACAGAGTCTGCCGTGGGTTTGCCAGGCTGGCTCGAGGCATGAAGATGTGAAAGGGCATCTTCAAGAAACTAGGGAAAAAACCCTGACAGACCCAAGCATCTCTTCCAGCAGCTTCTTTTGCTCCTCTTCTATCTCCTGCGACCAGCAGTACAGGCGCCTCAAGGGATCCAAACCTCCTAGCCTTCCCGATCACACTCTCTGATGAGATGGACTGCAAAACCTTTTGGAAACCTGTGAGTGGGAAGGTAGTCAAGCTGAAGCGTAATCGTCGGGAGCAAAGATGCTCTCAACCCGAAGCCACAGGCCCGGCCTAGAATCGTAAGATAGGGGCCTTAATAATTAGAAAAGGGTGATGGTGTAGGTTTTACTATAATCACAATAAGGACCCCCNNCCCCCCCCAAAAAAAAAACATATATATATATATATATAGAGACAGAGAGAGAGAGAGAGAGAGTATTGACAATTATTATTACCCTTATAGTAAGCCCTCAAGCCCAACACCTGAAGCCCGGGAGCCCATGGAGCGCTGAACGCTAAAGCCTCTCCTAGCGCGCCGCCCCATCTCTTACAGCGCCGCCAGCCTTGACTCGAAGCCCCAAATCCTACCCTCGAAGGTCCTAAAGCCCCCGAAAGGCCCTACAGTAGGACACCAAATCTTTAAAAGATCCCCAACTTGAGACCTAAGACCCCTTGCAGCCCCCAAAGCCCCCAAGCTCTGAAGACCTGCAGCCAGCCCTGGCCATGGAGCCTTCTTGCTCTTCGGGGGGGGTTCCGGCTCGGCCTTCCTTGGGCCGGCATCGCTTAACGCTTTGGGGGTTTCTCAAAGCTTTGGGATTGTTTGGGGGTCTGTTACGGTGGCCCTTTAAGTGCTCTATAGATGTAAAGCTGAATCCCCCAAAACCCGACTTCAGGACCCTAAGATGCAGCTTGGGCCAGGGCGGTCGGTGACTGCGGGCTCTGGGGAGCAGTGCCCTTCTGTTTGCCCGTGCAGTGTCGGCCCGATGCTTGTCTTGTCCTGCTAAACCCCAGACCCTTTTTCAGCATGGGCTTGGATTGTGTGCCAGCGAACACACCTCAACAGCAGGGCCTTCTCGTTTAACGAGGGATCGGTGGTTGAGATTTCTTCTGCGCCCACCCACGCCTCACCGCAACTCGTAGTTGGCCGGGTCCTCCTAATCATCCACTCAAACCCTGCTTCCCAAAACTAAGGTCCTGCACGTCTCCCCGATGTTACAAGGGCAATCCGGGCTTTCGGCCTGTCCAGCCTGTCAACCCTAATATAGGAGCCTTAATAATTAGAATAGGGTTTTGGGGGTCCATTATACTATAATTATAATGAGGAACCGCCCAAAACCCTATTCTAATTACTAAGGCTCCTATATTACACACTTTTTGGCGGCAGGGCCTCTTGCCCAGCTACCCGGTCTTCTCCAAACCACTCTCTCTCTCCGAATGCAAAGTAGGAAAGCCAAAGCCCTTCGAAGCTGACGCCCTTCACCCTAAACCCTGAACCCTAAAGTTTGAGGAGGGCTGTCCCCCCCTTCTCATTCATCCAGGCGGCTTTGCTTTGGAGACTGTTGGCTTTGGAGGCTCTTTTACCTGAGCACAGGAAGGATAGGGTCAAGGGCTTACAGAGGCAGGGGGGCAGAGTTTCCCTCTTCTGGGCCCATTTGTTTAAGTTACCATAATAGGGATCTGTAGCAAATAATATGGGTTCCTTATCATGGTAACCTAAATTAAATCCCCTCATTCCATGCAGGCGCCGAGTTGCAACCTCCTTCTTCGGTGGGGCTGCTTTCGCCTTCCCGCTGGCATTCAATGCCTGCGGTGGCAAGGCTGGCAAAGGATACGGGGGGTCTGACGGGATAGAAGCATAATCAGTCACATCCACTTGCAGTCTCTATAAACGCCACAATACATACACACAACATTGCAGAAGCCAATCCTGAAAGTGTCCGCTAGGCTGTCCGGCTCAGGCAGAGAGCACTAGGAATGCCACCACCAAGATTCCTAAGTGCATGTTCCGGGCTGAGCCAGACGAGGAGCATTCGCAAGAGCCGTCCGGGAGTCGAAACCCTGCTTGCCCATCTTCGTTGCAGCTAGTTAAGCCTATCGTGAAATATGCTCCTTGTTACTTTGTGCGTGCTGGCTGTGGCTGCTGTTCTATCACGGCTAGTTTGAACTTATCGGTTCGCAACGCCTCCTGTGTTTCTGTCACCGTGCTTGAACCAGAATACGAGCTAAGCGGGGCCAGGACCTCAGGACAGCCGGGGGGTCGAGAATGCGGGGTGACTCAAGACTGCAGCAACGATACAACGCCGACCATGACCGCCAGCTCACTCGAGTAACTTCCACCGCACGCCCGAGCAGAGAAGCAGCTCAAACAAGCCATCCTGCTCCGCGGCTTCTGATTTAGCCCTACGCCCCTACTTCCGACCGTGCTGACGTCAAACTTCATACCGATGATCTGGCCCTATAAACCCTGCACCATATGATCGTGAGAATCTCAGCATGCCTTTCTGGGCTTCAGGCTGCTCCGTTTGCGCCATGGCATGCATCAGATCTGCTGCTGGCGGGAATGGCACAGACCAGACCTGCATGGATGAAAGCCTCGAAAGCTTACCGGGGATACAGTAGTGTTTGAAGCCTGTTTGCTTCGTGCTTGAAAGTTTTGGGAATCGGCACAAGGGGGGAGTGAACTTCATTGCTCTGCATAAGTCTTCAGATTATCTGTGGTGTCCTTGCGACGCTCACCTCACGGTGATCTTGTGAAGTGGGGAGCTTCGGAAGAGAAAGCTGTTTGGAAATACTGTAGTCATAACATCATGTAACATACGTGACAAAACAAGGTGTGATATCACATACAAACTAACATAACAATCATAGTATCAGATAATATAACATAGCATAATATGACACCATACAATAAAGTATGATACAATATAATACACTATATCATGCAAGATAAATATAGCAATCAAGCAAAGCAACTACGAAAGAGCAAAGTATAATACAAACATGCGGGTTGAGACAATGCAGCATGCTACTATACAAAACCAGACACGATAATCAAACGTTATACGTAAGATTTCATACGACGAGCTGAGGATAGAGCTGAAGATAAATAGAACAACTATGTAGATGATGAACGGCTGATCGGTTTGTGCGCAGTTTGGAACCGATTTTGCGAACACAGAACACTCATTACCGCAACTACTACTACCACTACGACGAAGACGACGACGACTACTACTTCAGTGTGCTGGCACCAGAACCGTCAAGGGATCAACATGAAGCATCATTTTTGGTTTGCCAAGTGGTCGCCGAAGTGGGCAAACTGATGCGTTATTTTGGTAATCTTGGTATGCGAGTGGCAGAAAAGTGCAAGGGTAAGAGGTACCCGGTCCTGGGTAAGTGTAACGAAAGCCACAATGTGGTCCAAGATTACCTAAATGACGCGTCGTTTTG